GTTTATAATGCTAGCCGTTTTAATGGCGCCCCTGAGATCGGTCCTCTTTTGCGACGAACTCGATAATAGCCACGTTTTCGCTCGAAAACCGGTATAAAATCGCGCGAGCACGGTTGGCTTCCCTCCATTAAAAAAAAAAAGGAAAAAGAAATTAAATCGCCCGAAAGTAGACTTTGATGTATCAAAGTCCGCCAGCGGTCGAGCGAGGTTTGTTCATGTTGTGGATTTAATAAAATCAACTATTGAACATGCAGATTTTTTCTCGAATTACGAATGCAATTATTCAAGTCAGGTAATTTTTTTTATTTCACTAATAGACTATTATATATTCCAGAATAGAGGATGTCTACCTTTTTAAAAACTTATTAGAATTAATCTATGTAAAATGCTCAGCCTCTGGAAGCCATTCAGCGAAAAGAAAATAGACAGCGTATGCACACAAAATAAATAAATTCCATTTTAAAATTGTTTTTAAAAGTTCAAACCAAAATACTTCTGCAAAATAAAGAGAATTTCTCGGGAAATTGTTTTTTTATAAAATTTGACATTTTTTGTGAAATTTATTCGCTGATGCACCGATGTGTTCGATTAATTATGCATAACGAAAACCTCCTCCCTCGAAGGCACATATGTCTTTCGATTTTATACGCTTGGAATGTTGCGTTCGCGAGTCGCGAGGGAAATACCGCGGGATCGAAACGCGGCATATAACTTCACAGTCGTTTCGACATTTCGCGTAGTCTCGCCGTTGAAGGAAAATAATTTTCTCCGTCCGTGCGGAGCGTTCGCTCGCGGCACAAAATAACACTGGCCTTCGGGCGGATAAGTGATCGAGCGGAAAGATCAGAGGTAATCAAGGAGACGCGACCGGGGACCTTATTTGTGACGATGATGCGGCCCACGACGCCGGTGCATGTACATATAGCGATATTTACAACTTGCACCGCGGTGTGAATTACTTACTCGGATTTACGTGACAGATGTCGCACAACTGTCGTACGTGACATCGCGAAATAGTTTCCCCTATTACGGACGTGGATTGCGCAGAAAATATCGTAATTAGGGAAAGTAGAACAGAGGAATTTTAATGTGTGTCAGAGAGACGGACGTGCCTAATAATGACAAAGAAGAAAAGGTAGCATTTAATACGAAAAATATGTGTATAAATATTTAGTGATTTGTTGCAGCGAGGAATGGCAGAATAAATTATTCGAGAGAATATTTAAATTAATACAGAAAATTTTAGAGAGGAAAAAAAGACAGAACTCAGGAATGAATTTCGAATTATTGAAGTCAAGGCTTTCCCATGTGAACAATAACACGAATACCTTCTGTACAGTTATGCATATCATAAAAAATAATTGCATAGCACAAATCAAAATGCAAAAAATTGCGTAATAATACACATGTGTGTGATATAGAATTTAATATTTAAATTATATTATAAACACGCACGTGATTTTTAAATCGCACGCAGTTATAAAATAAAACAAGCTTCGAGAATGGAAGGACAATTTTATTTCGAAATATATATCTATCGCCCACATTATATTGCGTCCACAGCAAATTAATTTTCCAGCAGACAAGAGATGACAAATATGTATATACATATGTACGCGAGGGAAACCAAAGTTCGAATTTAAATGCAATATACTCGCTGCGTTTGCGTATAAACTTTCAAAAATAAGAGTCTAAAGGATAATTAATTTGAAATAAAAAAAAAGAGCAAACAACTTCTAAATAGCACGATAAGTGTTGAGCTTCGAGAGAGATCGCCAAATTCATTTAAATAAAAGTTATATAGAACGGCATGCGAGAGAATTAGAGGCCATGCAAATGAGCTTTAAATGGATTCTTATTTAATGATAAACACCGAGGTAAAACATCTAATCACGTATCAATATAATCGATCGAGAGATGATCTATTATCTATATTCTACGAGATTCACAAGACTGTATATTTCGCAACTTAATAATCCCGCCTCGTCTTTTAGACTTGGATGCAAAATTATGAACCTCCTTTCACAAGTCACGCGAGGATATAACGGAGAAAGACCCGTACCTTTTTTTTATCTTCGAGCATAAATTAGAAATAAATATTCCTTAAGTTTAAGTACGATTAAACGTGCTAGTTTTCCCCGGAAGTGTCGATATTATTCAAGTATCCTAAGTATGCGGTAAGCGTTCTCTATTTTTGGCGCCGAGGGTGGCTTCTGTCATCGTTTTGCGTCATCGAGCAGATAACGAATATCGAACATTCACGTCGCCGAGGACGAACGAGAACAGCCAGAAGAGCTCGGCACTCGAATCGCTTCCGCGTTTCTCCTCAGGTACGTAAATCTTGTCGCGATTCGCCAACATTCGCGATGTGATAGCGCTCGTACGAGGGAATTCGCCGGGAAACTAACATCTTACGTATGTACATATACAAACACACATATGTGCACATGCATGTATGTGCATCAGGTTGCTGCTACAATGGCAGAGGTATTTCCTCTAAGGGTATGTACTTTATTTCCCTCTGCGTCTCGCGTCGAGCCTTTTGCTCCAAGAATTTCATTCTCACAATTAGAGAGCATTTTTGAAATTAATTCGAAGCAAAGATTGTTAACGCGAATCTCTTGATGGATAAAAAAACAATTTCCTTATATTTTATGTAAATTATTGAATTTATTAAATTGATCGATGCTTAAGATTTATTCGGTATTATTATATGTAGCAACAATCCTGTCCGGTTTCACCGCGAAAACGAAATCTAAATATTCGCAAACGAAAGTAACAACTCGAATCAATATTCGTGTACACACACGCGTGCGTAACATCGGAATTTCGCCAACGTCAACGTCATCGTAACAGATACCGGCGTTCGCCGTATAGAACTCGACGTGTTAAATTACTTTCACCGATCGAGTCGCATAAATGCGTGCGGCCGCTACAACTATGTGAAAATCTCGACAAAAAAATGCGGGCGATTGTCATTGCACAAATCGAGAATACGAGAATGCGATCCTAATGAGATAAAGGGAAGGGAAGAGACCGAAGAATGTCAATCTTGTTTTTCGATAATCTTAATCTATATTTACATACAGAAATTATGATTCTGTCCCCATCTTTCGTGGAGCAGAGAATTTTGATGAATTTTAAGACCATTTCTGAATTTTTGATACACAGAAAAAATTGTTAACTTGATTAAACCGTTCAACTAAATTCTATTTTGTTAACAGAACATATAGAAATATTTAAATTAAATGTAACATATTAGATAAAACAAAACGTTTATTTGACTTAAATACTAATAGATGTTCAATTAACAAAATAGTAATTTAGTCGAACGGTTTAGTCAAGTTAACAATTTTTTTCAGTGTATTTTAATAATTATTTTTAAAGACTAATTGCGAATTTTATATCAAGAGAATTGTTTAATCTTTTCTATGTCGAGAAGTTTCCTATTAATATAACAATTTCTGAGAAGAAAATTTGTTGTCAAGAAATCTTAGCAGAATATATTTTCTGTTGAAAAAAGGAAATAATGTTTCTCTTGAAAATAGTAGTTTCTGTTGATATGAAATTGCTACGTTTGTGCGGAAACTCGCATCGTTTGACTCGTTGCACCACACGTGTTTCACGTGGAAAGTGTCAGGATACATATATATATATATATCAAATCACTTTCAATTCCCTTTCCAAAACGATAACGACAAGTGCCAGATATCTTTCTATGTCGCACAATTTTAAATCGCCAATATATGTTAATGTAATCAAACATTCTACTTTTAATTTTTATTCAAGCTCCTTTAAATATTTCATTTCAAATATATATGAATAAATATGACATATCGTATCGATAAGAAAATTTGCAAAGCGCCAAAGGGAGTATGTACATGTGAGAATCAATGGAGACATTTAAAAATAGCATCAATTAACACTCGAATTGATATTCATCGAAGTGTAAAGTGAATCCTCTCTTGTGCTTTTTTATCTAAATAGCATTCGTTTATCGTTTTGCAATGAACTCTGATGCCTGTTCGATCTTTCGAATCGACAAAACAAAAATAAAGATCTAGAGCATATTCGCACTTTTATTTGATCAAATTATTATAAAAAAGATAAAAAAATAAATAAATAATAAATAAGCAAGCATAATAAAAATAGTTATCATTTCGATTTTCATATGATAAATAATGCAATAAGAAGTAACTCGCTAATTATCATTAGTGCGTTGGAAAAAAAATATTATTGCATTAATAATAATTCTATTCAAAAATGGGTGCAACAGAATTGCTGGTTGCATCTATATCAGAATTCCTTTTAATGCAACAAGTATCTCGTTTGCACAAATTGATTTGTTGTGCAAACAAGATGCTTGTTGCATTAAAAGGAATTCTGGTAGATGCAACCAGTAATTCTGTTGCACTCATTTTCGAATAGAATTTTTATTAATACAACAAGATTGTTTTTCAGTGTGTCAAATCATAAATTCAATGCTGTTAGCAATTAGGAACAAAATTATATTTAGGAAATAAAAATAAGAAAATAATTTAAGAGAGAAGACTCTTAAAAAATTCAATTACAGAAAATTGATTGTAATTATTTTATAGTAATATATAGTAATTATGTAGTATATATAGTATATATAGTAATTATTTTATAGTATGTATAGTAATTATATAGTAATTGTTTAATTATTGTTTTAGTAAAATTTAATTTTATATTATAGTAATTCAAAATATACATTTATGTAGTATGTAATTATTTTATAGCAATATATATAGTAATTATCTCGAAACGCAGAAAAAGTGGTGCCTCTTATCGAGTAATTTTCGACTCTGGAAATAAGTATATTCACAAATTTCTGAACAAGTGCAAATAGAAGTGAAGAGAATTTTGTTTTCAAACATGGTTTTACGCGAATGTGTGTTTTGCGGTAATAATTCGAAAGATCGAAGCTGGAAGTAGAAGCGATCTGTCAGCGGGTTATTAAAGCGGAAGATACGACTCACCCTTATGTCTGCGCCACTGCCTGTAGAGGAGCGCGGCGACAGCGAGCAGAAGGATCGTCGTCAGAAAGGTCCCGATCACGGCTCCGGCCACGCTGCCCGCCCCGAAGCAGGTATCCTGCGCTGCTGCTGTTGCGTCTTCCATGACTCGCTTGCTCAGATCCGCCTCTCGCGCATATTCTCGCGCGGCTTCAACCGGTCGCGGCCGTTCTTGCCTTCTCTCTTTCTATCTCTCTCTCTCTTTCTTCCTTCTCTTCTGTCGTCAATTTGATCGCATAGTTTCGCGCGTGTGGGATCGTTCCCGGAGAGGCGCCGGTTCGCCAAGCAAGTACTTTTACCTTTCCTCTGCAGTCGATATGCGTTTTGGAAATCGATTGTCGTTCACGATCGTCTCATCGTTCTTCGTTGTTGAAACGTGACAATGCGTGGATGCACTCGCGCGAAGTTTGCTTCGTGACGTCAAGTTTCAGTCTCTTTCGACGACAACTTCGCGACTAACTTCTCGCGAGATCGCGAGCGAAAAACTTTCCTCAACTCTCGATTCTGGGAATGTCAGCGCGGCGACGTGACATTTCCTTCGCCGAGCTTTCCGCGAAACACGACGCGATTTCACGAACGTTCGCTTACGCGCGCGATTGAGAGAACCTCGCGAATGATTAAACACGCCGCTCCTCTCGACGCAACTTCGCGCGATGCACTGACGACACGGGCCACGGAGCGAGTAAAACAGGTAGGCGAGCAACAGGTGCTTCTGATTCCAGCGAGTGGGGGCAGGCGTGGTGGGGAGACCGTCCAATCAGGGCCGTCTCTAGCGAGCGTCAAATGGGGACTTTAGGAACCCTCGGAGCAGAAAAGTTCCACAGGATTCTTCTCTACAAATTTCAAATTTTATGCACGTGCTTTTATTTTTAATACTTTAACAATTCTTATATGAACGAAATTTTTCTAACCTTGACTTGTACAAGATAATAGACGAATATATAATACATGTAAAAGTTAAGGAATTGTCACATTTTAATTTGAGAAAGAGAAAATAAAGCGAACAAATAAAAAAATAGTTTCTCCATTTAGAATATATATATATATATATATATATGAAAATATTATAATTATTTCTTTCGTAGATAAAAATTTATAGATATATATATTTTATAATCATTTTATTATAATATATAATATATATATATAATATATAAGAATATATATTTTATAAAAATTTTATTATAAGAAATATATATATATATATATATATATTTCTAAATGGAGAAGTTTTTTTTGTTTGTTCGCTTTTTTCTCTTTCCCAAATTAAAGTTTGTCAATTCCTTATGCATATTGTCTCAAATTAAAATTTTTATCCACGAAAGAAATAATTATAATATTTTCATATATATATATATATATATATATGAAAATATTAAAATTATTTCTTTCAAAGATAAAAATTTTCATTCGAGATGATATATGCATATACAAATTTTAATTGTATATAAATGTGTATTACCCAAGACGGAGATGAATTTTAATATATTATTTTATTTAAAATTTTCAACTTTCGTACTTTTATACAATTATATTCTTATTTGAAATATCTATTCTAAAAATTAGTTTATTTCATGTTTCTTACCTTTGCTCAACAGTTTCTTCCGAAAAATGATTATCGCAAGTGAACACACGACTAATCTAGACGATCTCTCGACTAATCAATTTTTCGGGGAGTGCGTTTAGAAATCTATTCGTCGGAGTACAGGAAGCGTTTGACAGGCCAATCAGAAATCTTTCTCTCTCGATCTGATTGGACAAATCTGATCGAGTAGATTGAAGTGGAGTTTTCGAACGCAACCGGAACGTCGCCGCGTGAGTCGCCATTTGAGAAAAATCACGTCACTCTTTTTCAAGATCTCGCACGAGGATTCTTATCGATAACAGAAACATGACCAAAAATCTGATGATCAGGAAAGCGATGGAGAACGGCGATCGCGGGAGTCATGGCCAGGCCTATAAAGATAAAAGCAAACCCACGGATATTCGCAGCAGCAACATCAACGCTGCCAAGGGTAAGAGCGACATGTCTTCAAGGAAAATCTTACCTTATATAGTAATGCTGATTATCCTCTTCCTGCGATGCACCGATGTACTGTCATATTATAAATCATATCATAAATCGAGTCTGATTATGAATAGGATTAAATGTCACCATGCATAAATAAAAGGTTTTTTTTACAACAATGTATTATGCTGAAGACCCAATATTCTTTTGGGGTCTTTATTACTGTTCGTGAAAAGAATGAATTATATTTCTCATGCTTTTTGTGTATGATCTGATTATTATTTATCAATTATTTCTGTAGCTGTCAGCGATGCGATACGCACAAGTCTTGGACCAAGGGGGATGGATAAAATGGTACATTTTATATTTCACTCTTTTGAACGTGTATTTTTAAAATTATTGAAATATTAATTGATATCCAATATACTGTGGACAGATTCAAGCTAGTAATGGAGAAGTTACAATCACAAATGATGGTGCTACTATCTTAAAAGAGATGAGTGTAATCCATCCTGCTGCAAAGATGGTAAGAATAGATTTTTCATTTTAAATTTCATAATATGTAATGACATAATGTGCAATATATTTTGTGTTTTTATAGCTTGTTGAGCTGTCCAAGGCTCAGGATGTAGAGGCTGGTGATGGTACGACGAGTGTTGTTGTGATAGCTGGCGCACTCTTAGAGGCAGCGGAACGTTTGTTGCAGAAAGGCATTCATCCCACTTCGATTAGCGATGCTTTCCAGAAAGCGGCGTCTAAAGGAGTATTGATTCTGACGCATATGTCTATACCTGTTGACCTAACAGATAAAGAATCTCTTGTAAAGGTTGCAGCAACATCTCTCAATTCCAAGGTATCTAAACCAGTGTTGACATGAAATTAGAGTATTAATAAGATTTTTATCTTTGTGAATATACTTTGTATATAAAGTTGTTAATTATATACACACAACAATATACTATTTTTATTATATTATTTCAGGTTGTGCATCAACAATCTAGCCTTCTCGCGCCGCTTGCCGTGGATGCAGTATTAAAAATTACAGAGGAAGGAAAGGAAGTGTCTGTTGATTTGAATGTGAGAACGAATTCTTTGTACAAATATTCTGTTGCTTACATAACTTGAATTTTTCTTTCTTATCTTATTTTTCTGTTATTTTTATAGGATATTAAAGTAATAAAAAAATTGGGAGGTACTGTGGAAGATACCGAATTGATAGAAGGGTTGATATTTACCCAAAAATCTTGTAATATTAATGGCCCGAAACGTATCGAGAAAGCTAAGATTGGATTAATTCAATTCTGCATTTCGCCACCAAAAACTGATGTGAGTATCATGAATGTAATAATATGAACATAATCACAATTATACCTTTGCATGAATAAATCATTTTTCTTGAATTTCCAGATGGATCATAATGTCGTCGTATCAGACTATGCGGCGATGGATCGTGTCTTGAAGGAAGAACGTGCTTACATATTGAATATCATAAAACAGATCAAGAAATCTGGTTGCAATGTACTTCTCGTGCAAAAGTCGGTCTTGCGCGACGCTATTAGCGATCTTGCAATACATTTCTTAGACAAAATTAAAGTTATGGTAGTAAAGGATATAGAACGCGAGGACATTCCTTTCGTGTGTAAAACGCTAGGATGCCGACCAATCGCGTCCTTGGATCACTTTGTGGCTGAAAATCTTGTTAACGCGGAGCTCTGCGAGGAAGTTCAAACTGGAAACTCGAAATTCGTCAAGGTGAGTTTATTTAATATAGAAATATAAAAATTAATAGCATATTTCTTGCTCTATAAAATGTATGCTACATCTTTCTTATGTAAATTATTTTTATAATTGGTATATTTTTTTCCTTAATATGTACAGGTTACGGGAATTCAAAACCACGGAAAAACAGTCACGGTTCTCGTGCGAGGTAGCAACAAACTAGTCTTGGAAGAAGCTGAGAGATCACTGCACGATGCCCTGTGCGTCATCCGATGTTTGGTGAAACAGAGAGCACTGATTGCTGGTGGCGGTGCACCAGAAATCGAATTGGCATTAAAACTGGGAGAATACGCGGTGACCTTAGGTGGAATTGATGCATACTGCATCAAGGCTTTTGCAAATGCACTTGAGGTCAGTATTAAATGCACATTCGATAATTTCTTTTGTACATAAACTTTACTTTATATATATTCTATTGTGTTTTATATATGCAAATATTAAAATTACATTGCGGAAGATGTAAACTTAGTAAAATTAGTCAGAAATTATTGTTAACATTGTTGTATAACAATGTTTGATAATTTTTGGTAATTTGTCAATTTTAGGTGATTCCGTCGACGTTAGCCGAGAATGCGGGTTTGAATCCGATAGCAACAGTGACTGAACTTCGCAATCGACACGCAAAGGGCGAAATAACAGCGGGAATTAACGTCCGAAAAGGAGCTATTACCAACATATTGGAGGAGAACGTGATTCAACCCTTGTTGGTTTCTACCAGTTCGATAACTCTCGCTTCTGAAACCGTACGCAGTATACTGAAGATCGATGACATTGTCAACACAAATCAATAAATCAGAAGATGCGATTTAAAATTTGATTCTACTTTTACATAGCACGGTAAGTACAATCAACAATAACAATTTATATATTGTAGCACTTTGACATATTTACGCGTTATCTATATATGCAATATGATTTTCGTTACAGATTTATGTCCACGTTCATCACATTCGTTTGATTGGTTTTACAAAAGCCTTCATTAACAATTAGAATCACTATATGCTTTTTGCAAGAGCTTTACATATTGTAATATTTTTTAATGCGTTAATACTGAAAATAATAAAAAGTTTATTAAATTTATAATTTGTATTTATTTCAGCATGACAGAGCACAGATGTAAGTACTTATTGTTAGTATGTTAAATCGTTTTGTACTTGTGAAGTTTTTCTTGCCTCGAGGAAAGGTTGGCTTAAAATAAAGTTAGTCTTGAAAATTTTTGACTTGCTATTAAAAGGAAGAGGTAGTTAACTTTACATAATTCTTATAATTTATATCATCAATCTTATGTATTATTTTAATCTTAATGTTTGTATATTTGAAAGAAAGATATATACATAACACATATGAACTTCTTAACAATTTAATCGAAATATAATCTCGTACAACGTGGCATTGGGGCCAAGTATATAACTAATAGTAAGTATTAAGTACATCTTGCATATAATAAAATATATATTTATCTGTATTAGAAATTACTGCATTATAAATTAGCTGCATAATCACGTCTATTACTTGTAAATCCTAAATTTAATTTTATTATATAATTAAGTACATTCATGAGCATAGTTGCATCAGGACCTTCAAGATTTATATGTCATCATCATGATAGTCAATGAAAAGAAACATATCGAGACAAATATGTTCGCAATGTTGTATTTATCATTTCTTTTTTTTTATAGCAGTGGCAATTACTTTTTTTATTTAGTAAATAAGGACACATTCTTTAAACTATACTGGAATCATCTAAAAGAAATCATATAAAAAATTTCAAACACCTAATAATTAAAAACATCTAAAGAATTATTATCAAAAACACAAACATTTATAAAATTTTATATAAAATAACATTTTCAATAAAATAACAAAGAATATACTTTTTCTAATTTTGATCAAAATATATTACATAAATAAAATTTATGTAATTACATTATACAATTACATAAATGGAATGTTTTTCGTTATATATAATTACTTCATATTAATAATGCTCGATATTTGTTTTGTTTTAATAATTATTGTGATTGTTCCTCTATTACATTCCAAATTAAAAGTGGTAAAATTTTATATTTTCATGAAAAAATTCGACCACTGGTATAAAAATAAAAATTAAAAATGAGTGAAGATATTATGTGTATCTGTTGAGTGTTTTAATCTTTTAAAAAATGTATCTCTTATATATAAATTGTTATATAACATTCTCGCAAATTCATACACAGTATATTATATAATATTCATTAGTTAATTTTACAACTTATTTAAAAATAATAATGCATTTCTCTACACATGTAGATATATAATAATGTACGATTTTGTACGATTCCTTATTTCTCAGATAGCATATAAAAGATATCCATAACATTATCAAAATTTAAAATTCAAGAAATTGTTAAAACGTTAAATATTTTAAAAGTTTTAACGAATTAATTTTATAAAAACTTTCATAGGAAGAATTATTGGCAGTGGCAATGGACAGACCATCTGTGGAAATATTTTTCATATACATTTTATATAAATGCTGTTAAATACTAATTTTTCATTTACAACTATTTATCATTCAGTAAAAAGAAGTAAGATGACTAAATGATAAAATTCTGCATGTGATTATATAACAAAATATAGATAAAATTTATAGAAATAAAGTATATATTTTGATGAGATATTTTAATTAATCCCTGGAAAAATATTTTAATGCCAAAGTTCATAAATTTATAAGATTTACTTCTTTTTGCATTTTATAATATAAATATTTACTTGCCGACCCTTTCTCATATCTTGACAAATATAAAAGCCAAATTATTTATGAATATTGTTCTTGTTCGATGTGTACGTTAATATTAAAAACTTTTTATAATTATTCGTGTATATCACTCGTAAATATATGTATAATGAATTAGTGTTGCAAAATATATGCCAAATCATTCTGCATATATATTACTAAAAATAGATTGTGTAATCTCTGCAAAAATCTGTGCATAACTTATCAAATAATGTACACATTTTTGATAAGCAAAACAGATTATATAATTTTTTTTTCCTTATTACCATCGTGGATGAATTTGATGAAAATTCCATTGTTGATAAGTATTGTTTATGTCGCACGGCATTAGAGATAACTGTTGAGTTTGGGGATGAAGTGCCATACACTTTTTATGTACTCTGTGTAACAGAGTCTTTGTTTTCTACAAATGCAAATTAATATATTACGTTGATAAAACGTAAGATATACAATTTTGTATTTGTTTGAAATTGTTAATAAATAAACTTACTTCGTCATACTGCCACGGACCATCTGCAGTCCCTAGACGACAAAATGCGTACTTTATACCTTGACCATCTGCTTCAACGCATCTTTCACCGATACCCAATTGACCTTTTATATTCAACCTTATGAGCTACCAAAAAATATATAGAAAGTTATTCAAAAATACAAGTATAAAAAGAGTTGCCTAAATTACATATCTAAGTAAGGAAAAAATAAAATATTTTTCCAAATTACCTGATTATTTCCAAAGCCATGACAATGAGAAGTAGCCATAAGACTTGGCGGTGCATGACCCATAGTATCCAAACACGATCCAGTTGCCACACTTCGCAACTAAACAGATATTATCGTTGCTTAATACAGAAGCTTATATTTGATTTGATAAAACTTAAATGCGTTTTGCCAAAACTGTACCTCTCCCCAATGAATATTTGGCGGCAATTCTGGAAATTTGTCCAGCACATCATATGCCACATTATCCATATACCATTGGAAATCTTTACATTTCTTTCGTTCTTTAAAGGCTAATTGTTCGGATATATCTCCGTGATCGAGCAACCGAGCCAATGGTTCCCTGGTATAAAAAAATGCCTTGTGTTTCTCGTCGAACCATGTTTCTATAACTCGTTTATAATTCTGTAAAAGAATTTATTTTGAGAATAATACCTATCTTAGAGAGAAATAATACATACACATGCGACAATATAAACTACTTACGATAGTTATCAACGGTCCCTTTTTCTTTTGAGCAAGTTTGCCAAACGTATAAGGCATAAATCCTCGGTAAACGTGTCCGACATGCGAGCACGGTACCCACAAAATACTCCCACCACACTGCCATATCTTGAATGACAATTCAAAGTTTTCTCCTCCCCAGACGAGCAGTCCCTCGTCGTATCCACCCAATGATAAAAAGTATTGTCGATTTATCGCGAATAAACCACCGGCGTGTGTAGGTGATCTGCATAAATAAAATAAAATTGGATGAAAAGTATTGTACTATAATAATGAAATTATATATCAAATTCCTTAAATATATGTATAATTGTACCTGTATGGCATACTATCGTGTGAACGCGATTTGGATTCCCGTCTAGGCAATTCGTTCTCCTTGTACAACATACCCCATTCGAAAATTCCTCTGTACAAGTGGCCTTCTTGATACACAGGACGATATTCGAATGTCTTATGATCAACGCCGTCTATCACAGGAACTGTCATTACATTTCTGGAAAATTACATAAATATATTTATAAGAAAAAATTGCGAATTTTTATATAACAGAAAACTTTTAGATTCCATTATTGTGCTATATTTACTTGATCATATTTCGTTTTTTTTTTCAAAATATAATAATGTTATTGAAAAATATTTTCCATGTTCAATGCAAACTGTATGCAATACTGAATCATTTATTTCTGACTATAATTTTACCTATTTTCAGCAATTGGTGCTAAAAGTGGTGGCAACCAATTTACGTTGACTTCACAATGGGCATCTAAAAATACTATTACTTCACCCTTGGCTTCACGTGCTCCTCGAGATCGCGTTCGTATTAGACCTTGTCTTTCATAGTTTCGAAGTAATCTAACTTTTCCTCCCCATTGTTCGATGTAGGAATCTAGGTCGCCCTTTAAATTTTCTGCAAAGGATTATATTGCCTGTGTTAATTGTCAATTACAGATTTTTTAGACTTTATCATATCTTATGTTAAATTCATACCTTTATCAGAAAAATCGTCAACAAGGAGGATTTCCTCCAAGAATTTTGATGGAGTACGATTTATAACACTATGAATAGTTCGCAGTAAGACAGACCAACCCTCATTATGAAAAACTATAATCACACTAGTACGTGGTAAGTCCTCTGGATAATTCCAATGCTTGCATCTGCAGCATATAAAAAAAATGTGAAAATAAAGATACAAAGATTAATATTATTAGCCACAAGAAAAAGGGCTTACTCTGCTGGCCTAGTATCTGGAATTGATCTTGACAATGAGATTTCATCAGAACATACCATATTCATTCCATAATCGGATTCCGATTGCTGAACATCATTTAATTGATCATCTCTTAAAATATGAGGTTTACCGCCTTCCCCAGGACCAGATTTAACTGCTACATCGTGTAGCTCAAAATTTCCTAAACCATCTACAAACACTGGTACCTGTATAAAATAATAGTAAAAAATATAAAAAAGGATTCAAAAATCTCAATTCACTAATCTTTTGATACACATATTTTGTATAATAAATACACAATTTATTATGTTCAAAGTTTACCTGTTTCGTTCTAAGACCCTGTGCCCATTCTTTTATATTGTTCATATGATTGTCCGAGGAGAAGTGAAGGAGAATATATAAAACTAGTAGCACCAGTATACTGCCAATGAGTATGTGGAACAAGCGGTTTCTCCTAAGCTGTACAATCCTCATCTTCCTCAAAGTGTACATCTAAAAACTGAAAACACATCATCATATTAGATATTTTTCACATAGATATTTTTTGTTCTAAGTTAATGTATCTTTCTGAAAGAATTTCACAAAGATACATATTTTATCTCAACAGTACGCAAATTCGTAATTAAATCGCTGCGTAATTCGCTTTCTAACAACTCGTCCTATTTTTCGGCCTACGATTCCGCAAGATAAATAAATGAAATATGCGGTACCTCTCGTGGTAGGAAACAAATAACGGAAAGCCGGCTCGACGACATACATTCATCGACGTGTCGAACGTCAATGGTAATTAGCGAACGTTAACAAACTTATTCATCGTAGAGGAACCGTAATGTTCGCATTTGCATACATAAGAGCGGCCAACGTGTCGCCAGCTGTCACGTAGGTGCACTAAAAATACGCGACAATAGAGGCGCCGCACTTGTAGAGCCGCTTCTGATCATCATCGCCATGTTTGCGCCGAAGAGGATGCTGGACAATTTAAATGGATGTATATTTGCTCGCGAAATGTTTCCGCGAAAATATTGAAATGTCATACAAAGCACGCTTGTATATAAGAAAAATGAAACGTCGTGAAAAAAGTCACGAGGGAGATTAATTGTTCCAAATGGAAACTCATCGTCCGGGATACTCGAAGGTTAATCAAGGGCCAATTGACTCTTGATTGATCTACATTTGTACTTTGACCTCTCGTCGTGGAGTTGTTGGATGAGTTTCAGTATTATCGTTTCTTAGTCGATATTCCGAGTGTTCCGAGTAAACTGTCATTTTAGCAATCATGTCGGACAGCGTTAGCCCTATTAAATATTTTTTGAGCGGTGGATTCGGCGGAGTATGCACCGTCGTAGCCGGTCATCCTCTGGACACCATAAAGGTGAGGTTACATGCATGACTTAATTAGAGAAAGAATTCAGTTTCATCGATTCGCATTTACATGTTTTTATCTGTCAATTTCTTTATTTATAGTCTACGTGACACAAATTTGTTTTCTACATTATTTATTATGTGTCTAAAAGGGAAATTATTCTATCACAGGTACGTCTTCAGACTATGCCAATACCGGGCCCTAATCAGTTGCCTCTCTACTCAGGTACATGGGATTGTGCTAAGAAGACTGTTACTAAAGAAGGAGTACGTGGTTTATACAAGGGTATTTATTTTTGCGCTGTGTAACATACAAAATTTGTCTCATTATATAATGCTTTTTTGATATATAAATAATATAAAGATATATTAAAAGTAAATATCATACAGCAATTTGAAAAAACTGTAAAGTAGCTTTATATTGTAGTGTAAATATTTTTATAAAATTCTTTCATATTATATAACACATGATTTATAAGTAACATGTACAATCTTTAAGAATTATGCAATTTGACATTTATACTTTTACATGTTTTTTATAGTTTAATAGAAACTTGTAATTTACATCTCTTGTCCCTAAAGGTATGGGAGCACCTTTATCTGGAGTTGCTCCAATATTTGCGATAAGTTTCTTTGGATACAGCGTTGGGAAGAAGCTACAACAGAGTTTTCCAGATGAAAAACTCTCGACGTTGCAACTGTTTTACGCCGGTGCTTTTAGTGGCATATTTACGACTGTTATAATGGCTCCTGGCGAACGTATCAAATGTCTGCTGCAAATACAACACGGGGACGCGAAACCAAAGTATAACGGACCAGTGGATTGTGCAAAGCAACTGTATCGAGAAGGGGGTATTAGAAGTATTTACAAAGGCACCTGTGCTACACTTTTAAGAGGTACTTGCAATTTTATTCTTATTTTTCACGTGCAAAAACTAGTTATTTATCATATATTTTATCATTTTTCATATATTTTATATTTTATTATATATTTTATATTTTTTATTATATATTTTATTTTCATATTTATATATTTTTTATCTCAAAAGATTTTACATTTGTATATCAGGAGTAGAAATTTATGTTAAGTTGAAACGTAAACTTTTTGCATAAACTTATTACATACGTGCTATTATTTAGTCTAAGATAAAGAATTAAATACATATTTAGATTGATATATTAGAAAAATTTATGATGTATTTTTTAATTCTGCATTTATCAGATTTATACACAAAATTTATAAAAAAATTCGATATTAACTAACTGATGTCGTTATGCTCTTCGAAGTCTTCTCTTGTCTTCAAGAACTTTCGAAAGTATCGTTTCTTCGGGTTTCTGCATTGTAAACCACCTTTGCGCAATGCATAAAAAACTCCCCAATTCTGCAACCGCTTCGGCGTCGAACATCGCGGAGCTGTCTCCTTATTTCTGTTTACCTGTGCAAAAGTATTAATAATTTGCATTTTATCTCTAATTAACAAAAGCATTATCAAATATAAACGATTGGATAGAAATCAGATAAGATGATAATTACTAGCTGAGGATTCCAATTGATCATGATGCATGAACAATCCCAAGGATTGTCATCCAATCTTATATTTTGTATCTGTATTAGTTTATTCGGCGCTCTCAGACTTTTAAAAAAGTCCAAAGGTAGCGAAGTTAATTTGTTGCCTGTAAGTATAATTTCTTTCAATTCCCTCTGTTGTTGAACAACGAATAAACCAGGCGGTATGAATTCAAGATCGTTTCTCGATAGGTCGATTCTTCGAACTCTTTCTAAACCGTAGAAGGCATCCATGGAAATTCTCCGAATGTGACAGTGACTTAGATCCAAATCCAACAGATTGGGAAGATCGACAAACGCATCGAAATCGATATTCGTGACGTTTCCTCGCATTTTCAAGTGTGTCAACGCCGGTAGTCCTTGTAGTATGAAACGCTCTAACACAGGTATCTCCAAATTATACAGATGTAATATCTCAGCTCGACGTAGACCGAGTAATGAATTCCTTTGCAGTTTTAATTTTGACATCGTGCCTCCGAGATACAATTTTATCGTTGTATTCATAATCTCAAAAGTGCTAAAATAGATCAAATACATTATTTCGTTTGGATTTAATCGTCAAGATATATTCCGTAGAAAACATTACCTTGGAAAAATGGAATCCAATGGATTTTCTGTAAAATCAGCGCTCGTAAGCGCCGGAAAAGGTGGAAGTGATAACTCCGACAGAAATGTTAAATTATTTTCTCGCAAGTCCAGATGTTCCAGTATAAGCAACCCTGCCAAGTCTACGCTCTTCAGGGTCAGTAATTCATTACTCGCCAGCGACAATGATCTCAAATTCGGCGTACCGTAGAAGCAAAATTCCGGTATGAATTTCAAACTGTTCTTCTCCAACGAGAGATAAAGTAGGCTATTCAGGCCGTCGAACATGTGCCAGGATATATCTTTCAGGGCGCAATCGTACACCCTTAGATGCGTCAGCGCGCCGAGCGCAGCAAACAGCTCAATATTTTCTCTATAGCCTTCTAATTCTTGCTTATAAAGATCGTACGGCAATATCTCTTTGTCGTCACTATTCTGCTGACTCAGAAATATTAGTCTGTGCCCTTTGTGCTGATTGATATTGCTTACAGTCGCTCCATTGTCATCAATCGTTTCGGTTTCCTGAGAACTCATCGGCTTGATCACCAAATTTGCTTTGTTCTTATTCGGCAGATTTAAGCTTGACAATTTAACCCGTTCCAAATTTAAATACAGCAGAGTAGGTCCTAAAGGATACAAAGCATCGGATGAAAGATGAATACCGCCCTTTTCTCTATAATTATTTGTCTCCTTTATGGAAGGATCGCTGTAATCTATTCCTTGAACGTCTAGCGATATCAATTCGGCGAAGCGTTGGAATGTAGTTGCTTGCAGAAGAATATCAGCATCTCCGTTGCCTGATTCAAGTAACGTCAGAATCTAAAAACATTCAAAAGAAATTAATACAAGATATGTGTATGTATAAATAAATATAAGATCGCGCGCGCGTACGATATATTTTATATACGATATATGTGACCTGTATGTCTGATGGAAGTTTAGCCATAAGTTCATCAGGGTTTTCGACAATCACGCATGTTGCTGTTTTCATTAATTCATGGGTCATAGAATGCTCATTATCATTCATATTAAAATATATATCATCAGAAGGCACGTTCTGTTGAACAAAAACGCATTGAATTATATGAAAATTAATAATTATGAACATTAATATCTATTCGATTTGTACCTGATCCTTATCTCTGTTAGTATCAGACCATTGATGCAGAGGCAGATCAGAGAATTTTTGAATCTCGCAAGTACATCCTTGCGGGCACCCTATCTCCCATACACCACTGATATCGATAACTTGTCCTGTACACTGATTCTGAGCAATGTAATTTGGAGATTAATCAATTTACTATATTATACTATGGGATATATATTTGAAAAAATTATTAATTTTTTATTTATTTTATCTGATATCTATATTCAATTTGAGACAAATATTTGTCTCCATATGATATATTGAGATTTTATATTAAATGCTGTTATATTTATTGCGAAATTATGTAGAAAGTAAAGTTGAATTATAATATAGCAAAGTATAAATAATCTCATATAAAAAATGTGTATATACCAAAGATAAGACGACGAGAAATAAAAGAATGAATGTCATGTTGTCTCACTTTACGAACTTCGATTTTGAAATAAAGCACGATACTTATTGTTAGAAACAGTACGCTGGTCCGAAGGAAACTGGATTTTGTTAACTGTGTTATCTATATTCCTCGATGCTTCCTATCAAACAGGATGCTTTCTATCTGCCAGCCCACACTCGCTCTCTACTCGCTATTATTAATTCTGTATGTTTACGTGCCATCTTCAGCCTCCGGAATAAGAATACTCGAGCGATCACTAATTTATGCCACTGATTCTATATATTTCTTTTCAGATATTCCGGCCAGTGGAATGTACTTTATGACGTACGAATATATAAAGGATCTATTCACTCCTGAGGGAGGGAAGCTTAGTTTACCAGCTACCATAGTAGCTGGCGGTTTTGCAGGAATTGCAAACTGGTTGGTAGGGATGCCACCTGATATCTTGAAAAGCCGCTTACAAACTGGTACGTATATATTTCAACATTATTTATAATAACAAGGATGTGTTCTCCTTTTTTTTGAATTTTTTAATTGAACTTGATTGCCAGCAAATCAATAAACTGATATAAAACTCACTAAATTGTATATCATTTTCTAATACAGCACCAGAAGGTACATACAAGAGAGGGATACGCGAAGTATTTGTCAAACTGATGAAAAACGAGGGACCATTAGCGCTTTATAAAGGCGTTGTACCTGTTATGTTGCGAGCCTTCCCTGCAAACGCAGCTTGTTTCATGGGCTTTGAAGTTTGCATGAAATTTTTGAATTGGCTCGCGCCAGGTTTATAATTTGAATCGCATATTATGTAACTGAAATGTTTGGAGAACGTCCTGCCTTTCATGATATCACTGTTTCACAAATATCTCAAAATAAATCTCAAGAACAGGCTATAGGTATATGTATAAAGTGTGAAAAGTATAGGAAATATTAAGATAGCATAGAATAGAAATTAAATAACAAGCTTTTTATAAATCTGATTTTGACATATAGAGAATTAAATATAAATGAAAGTATGACATCAGGGAATATATTTGTACAGTATAATCTTGTATTGCATATTAAGTTTTATGAAATTTTAAATATATATATACTTAAAAAAACGCATATATTTTGTACGTATCAGGAATTGTGATAATTCCATGTGGAAAGACTGCTCAATAATCAATGATATATATGCAAATCTTTATATTGGTATTATAAATGTATCATATATTATTTAAAGTTTAAATATAAAACTTTATTAACATAACAGTGTGTGTATATATATATATATGTGTATATATATGCACACACATTAGTTACATTCGTATATTGTACACTATATGCATATGAGAAAATGTACAACAGGATTATTTAATAAGATAATTCTGTTATATATTCTATGTACAAGACTTCTCTCTGAGGAAGATCGCACAATACATATATAACAAATAAATCCAATATTATATATATATATATATATATATATAATTGTAGATAAATAAACAAATTTTTTTAAAAAAACTGTATTGATGTATAAAATAAAGTTTTCTATTCTCTTATAAACATTTATATTCTTATCAGAAATGTTCTATTATCCCTATAAAAGATATTTATGTAATTAATTAATAATTTGCTCATTTGTAAATATAATTATCACATATAGTGTCTTTCTGCCCCCACCCCTCCTACACTATGTGATTATTATAATATTATCAAGATTAAATTTTTTCAACGTTAATTGGTGTACAAATTAATCATAGAAAAAGATATAATTAACCATAAATTAAATAAAATTTAAAACCACATAGTTTTCATATCTGTTGAATAAAAAAAGTACTATACCTGGATTTGTATTATGACTGATCATCTGCTTGTTTCAGTCTTTATCGAATAAAATTTCCCCTGAGTCTTTACACACGCGAATACTGATAGTTTAAGCCCTTTATCTGGATAATTGTTCAATATATTACAATAATGTTTCAACAGTAACCCTTGAATTAATCACCGCAACAATAATAATCACTCTTCCCAATCATCCGTGTCAGGTTGAGAGTCGTATTCGCTGGTAGCGGAATTTCTGTCGGATGCGGACGCTTCACTCGGTTTTGGAGGCGGTGGTATTAAATTGGACATTCTTTCCAGAGCGCCCACTGTGGAGCCGGCGATACCTTTGCGTCTCAGAGCTAATTTTGCGTGTAAATCTGCCATTAGATCTCCCCCGACCGACGCAGAGGACCATCGATCGCATTTCTTCGCATCTGGCGCAGTAGGCCTCAATTTTGCTCTACCTATCCCGCCAGCGTCTCGAATCGCCGCCATCAAATTGGAACGATCATCCGTCATAGCTTTCGCTGATGGTCGACTCGCTGTCTTCTCTCGTCTCTCTGCATTGTTATTCGACGCAGACACAGGCGAGTCCGTAGCTGATGGCGGCGGTGGAGGCGGAGGCGGCGGTGGAGGTGGTGGCGGAGGTGTCACGACTTGTTGGAAACTAGGTTTCTCATTGTTCGCAGCATCATTTGTATTTACAATAAATATAGGAGGTGGAGGAGGTGGTGGCGCAGGTTCCTCCACGTGCTCGTCACGGTTGTAGGCACAGTCAGAACGGGCAAGTGCGGAACATTATTTTCCATCTTCGACCCGGAGTCTTTTTCGTCGCTGATCGGTGTCGGTAGATCCAAACGAACTGTAGGCGTTGTGACTGCGGATGACGGCGCGATAGGACTTTGGGAATTAAGATCGAGTACGAATTTCTCATCATCCACAATCCCTGGTAGATCTGGGAGTGTCAACGGTACATTTATCTGAGGAACCTGGAAGTGTATACAAATTTTTCTAATAAATTATAAAATAATAAAATTGAAATAAGCAATAAGTCTTTTATAATTTATGGAAATTGTTGTATCATGTGCATAAATTGATGTATTATGTGAAAAATCTGACCTCTCCGAGAGTTGGTGTATATAAATAGCTGGAAGACGCGTCTATATCCGACGACAGCCACGGTTGTACAATTGAATCCGGTGCATCTTCAATTTGCTGCTTGTCAGTAGATTGACGCGACGACCTCGAGGATGTTTTTTCATAAGGACTATCCATGCTATCAAATAGTAGGAGAGCGCTAACTGAAGATAATTGTGGTGGTAATGGCTCCTCATTATCTTCAGGGTTATCTTTTTGCTAGCCTTTGATCGTACATGATAAAATTGGAGTTTCTCTTGAAGATTGACATTCGCGGCGTATTGACCGTCCTCTGTCTTACAATTAGAAGATAAATACGCTTCGGAAATATCTTTTATAGGCACAGAACATTTATAAGCGTTTGGTATAATAGGCGCGTGTTCGCGCTGCGGAGGTATAGTCATTTGATACTCCTTATAAGTATGATTAGCTGGATACTTAGCAGCAGAGTACATTTTTACTGCTTTCAAATTTAAATTAGTCTGTAAATAGTGCAACCTGTCTTCCAATTTTCTTGCTCTTTCTTTAATGTTGGTTAATCTGCAAAAATTATAATTTGTTTACCTTGTTAAAAATATTGTCATTATTTAAAAATGCCATAATTAAATTATATTTACTATAATATGTGATAATTATATGATCAAGATACTAGTTGCTTTCCATTTATATAAAAACTCAGATAAATCTCATTTCTGTCTTTCCTTAACATGGATGTTGAAGACAGAAGTGAGATTTATCTGAGTTTTGATGCAAATGGAAAGCATCTAATAATCATATATAATAACTAATTATGTATAGCAGCCAAGAAACTAACAAGTTTCTTCTTTTATATACCTTTGCGTATTTTCCAAAAGCCTTTTATCTATACAATCAAATATATATGAAACAGAATCGCTCAGGTTGTCCAGAGATTCTGTTATTTGAACTATAGTTTCCTCATGTCTTAAATTATTTGGGATAACACCTGAAAGATTTTTAAAACGTTCAATTACCGTTTGTAATTATTATCGAATTTTAATATTATTTCGACTCGGTTATCAGGTTATGTTATGTTGCGAAAATATAAATATTTTTGCATGCTACAAAATTATGGAACGATGGATAGGAGTTATATAGTAAGAAATAAAAATTTACGATTACCGATTTCGATTCGTTCTGGCATTTTGGTCCCGGAAAGTAGAGAAAATAACTATTTCACAGTATTATATACACACATTTTAGCGATTACAAAAATCGTATATATGTATTTAAATTACGTATATATATACATATATATATAATCTATAAATCATATAAATCTTTTAGCAGTCTCCATACGACACATGACGCAAGTCGATCCCTCAGATAATATTTCTGCAAATCGTAATTCAATTCAATGTTAAACTGACACATAATCATAGAAAAAAGTTGGAGAGAAGTCACGTCACGCGTTTATCTCCTCGTCCCTCTAGCGGTGACAGATGCAACTAATAAACGTCATTCCACGTCGATAAATCTTCTCGATGGATAACCAACCTCGCGATTTGAGTTTTTCCCTCGGTATATTTTCCTAATGCACACCTCTTCGCGAAATACGTTTTCCTAATTATCCTTCGTCTTAGCGGAATATATTTTTTGATACACACGACGAGAGATTCTTCGCGAAAACGTAACGCAACCATCTCTGCCACTTCACGTGCCGCGACGTCAGTGAAGTGAGGCAGCAAAGACTCGCTAGAAAATTTCACGCGATTGCATTTCAATATGGCGAACCGCGACAAAGGACGCAGAAATTGGGGAGGATTTTCACAAGGTATTTTAACGAGAACTCTGTCATCCTTGCGATCGCGACGAGACGAGGCCGTGTTGCCGCTGATGCTTTTCTGCGCGCCCGACTTAGGACCGAATTCATGACCCTCCCTCGCAAGACTCGGGCGGACGATGTGCGAAATTAACCTCACTAAACAAGCTAACCTATCTAAGTACGGCGGGCACTTGCGATGTCGCGTTATTTTGTGGCGTTCGGCGATTGAAATCCGACGAGATCACAATTGGCTTTGTCTAATGAAGTAAATTAAAAAATATTTACGATCCTGTGTAATCGACAGAGTCTTTTCTTTTCAAAGGCGAACGGTTTGCCTGAGAAATTTCAACGCGCTGTCAAGAGTGTCAACATAAACGATAGATTTTTTTCGATATTTTTTTAATTTAAAAAAGTAGATATTTCTCAAGTTATCTCATTTTCTTGTTACGTATTAATCCGGAGAGATATAATTTGAGATATTGAACTCTCATAGAGAGATGCGTCAAATGTGTTTATCAGATTTTTCTTTATCTCCTTTTGTGTATGTCAACATTTTAATCTGCATTTATAATGTTGTATGCAATATTGATTAAGTTTTCATATATATTACATAAAGAATGTATTGCAACATTGCTTTTGTTCTTGTGTACTGTATTTATATTATTGTAGTATGAAAATAATACAAATAGTATATACAATAAGACAATTTTCATAATTTGCAAGCATTATAAAGATTGTTTCTAATTTATAAATATTTTTATTGAAATGTTTTCATCAACAATTTAATATATATGTCTGAATGATAAAAAGATAATTGCGTAAGACATGTATAAAATATTTGTGATTGTGTGGAAACTTTAAAATGTTTTGGCATTAATAACAAAATAAGTAAATAATTTTAATAGTTTCAGACTTAATGAATTCTAAATTGGAGAAAGATAGATTGACGGGAATGCGTGGCGGAGGAAATAGAGCATCTCAGGCCTTATATAGACCAGGAAGTGGCCCTTTACGTAAGTCAGACAGATCTGGCAATGCTGTTGATGAATATGACAACGAAAATGGCTCGCATGAAAAACCCAGATCAACCTCCGTCCAGTATCGTTTGAGACAGTTACAAGTCAATAGATCTAATCAAGCACAGGATAGTCCACCTCTGTCACAAATCGACAATGTAACTGAAAAATTAAGCAATACTCATATTGACTATAGAAATATCAACAACAGTGAACCTGCACAAAGTACTGGACATAACATCAGTGGAGGAGGGAATGATTCAAAGAAGAAAAATAGGAAACCCGAGCAATTGCTATATGTACCAAAAAAAGTGAAGGAAGCATTGGCTGAACAGGATGGGACTAATAGGTAAAAACAGTCGCGTTTGTTTTTTCATTATTGTAACATCTGAGAAAAAAGATCACGATACAAAAATAATCTCTAACATGGGAGAATAATGCAATGACATCATATTCATTCAATTATTCTAACATTGGTTGTTAAATTTTTTTTAGATCTCCCAATCATACAGCATGGGAACGAGAGAGGGAAGAGAGCGATGATCGTGATTCCTATTCTAACCGCAGTCACAAAAGTGAGCGTAATCGCGCGAGCAACAACAATGTACGAGACAATGCTAGTGAAAGCAGGGGCAGAGATGATAATAGTAAACGATATTCAGGCAATCGTCGACATCGTCATGTCAATGAAAATGAGGAACGTTGGCGAACCGATTCGCCGGTATCTGCTAGAAACTGTGCGAATCGAAAGGATAATTTACGGGAAGTTAGACAGGTTTGTAAATTAAAAATAAATTAAACTATAATAACAATTGTGAATTATAAAATCATATCTCATTTATTTTAAAATTATAATGTACTCTTATCAAAATTATAGTCTCATGCACAATTTGTATAATTTAAAATAAATATTCTTTTCTATGTTATATTAGGGTTCTGAACCTTTGTCTATGACGAATCAGAATGATTTTAATCGTACAAGAGACACGCGCAGTGTGGAACCCATTGGACATTCAGATAAATTTCAAGGCAAACCACCCTCTGGCAGACGTAATGCAAAAGACAGTTTGTCGAAAAATATGAAGTTGGAGCTTTTGCCACCACGGCTGCAAAAGAAATATCTCATTGATAATGGATACGCATTACCTAACAGCCCAGGAACATCTGCAGAGAATACCTGGAATGGTAGCAGTGTTACATTTCAGGTAAAATTTTGTTTGATGCTAATTATATAATTTTATACATACTTATATACATTTATGTCAAATAATGATTATATCAAACAATGATTGAAGTAACATCATACATCAAACATGAATTGTTAGCAGGCTTCATCCGGTTATAATTATCCATCAACGATACAGCATTCGCAAACAATGCAAAACTTGCCACCATCTGGATCATTATCATCACAATCTAATTGGGCTAATACTGTACCAGTGAGAAGCAGAGGAAGAGGTAGACTCAGGCCAGAGGAATTGGAAAGTACAGCAAGTAATTTCAGACCTACCACTCCTGAACAATATTCGGCGCCAAGTTCCAGATCTCATACTCCTAGCCAAGAATATATGAATCGGTACAAATATATTTATATTGATTTTTTTTTAATAATCTTAAAAATATTTAAACTTATATTGATACATAAAATTCGTGAATGGACAGGTCTTATGATCGTCGTGGTAGTAACAGCACTATGTATACTAGTATGGAGAGCTTAAGTCGTGCCGACAGTACAATGATGCCACCACCGTCATCTGCATCGCCGGCAACTTCACAATCCAATTCAAATAGAGGTCACAGGTCACCTGAGACTCATCGCAGAGGTGCAACATCACCGATCAACAATCGCACTAGCAATATGTAACTAAATATTTAAGGAATCATTTTTTTTTCTTATAAGTTTTGTACACGCGTAATAATTTCATTTTTTTCAAGGCAAAGAATCACCAGTAACCCGTTCGAGCACAATTCAAGCCTAGACAAACAGAGCAATCAACAAAACACGAATCTTAATTCCATGAAAAACGATTCATTTAATTTATCGTCTGTCACTGTAATTGAAACATTTGTAAGTACATAAATTAATAAATTCAATATTTGAAGTATTCTTCTGTTAAGTACAGACTAGTATAAAATGAATATATTTCAATTAGGATTGGAGCGAAGAAGTTGAATTGACCGAGAAGTTGGAACAGGAATATTTGAGCCGCAGTTCTTCTGTCTTAAGTATACGCGAGAGCGCAAGTATGCCGCGAAATCAGGCCGTAGGCGAGAGTTTCAAGCGACGTAAAAAAAAAAACGAGATAAACGTGATGCTGACCGGTAAGCATGACTTTACTATAATTACATTAGTTTTTATTTTTATCTATTTGTTCTCTTTTTTTTTGCATTTAAAGATAGTATAAAAGTTGCAAAGAATCCAGGTAACGTATTTTTTCACGTACTTCTTTTATTTTTGGTTTTTTGTATTTGCCGCCAAAAAATTTGCTATTTCGTAAGAGGTTACGTGACGACACGTGCATGCGCGTCATACTTTGCGATATTTGAGCGCGCAAGCGCATAACGATAATTCAATTCAATTCGAATCTCGCTCGTGGAAGACTTCTCCAAGAATTTTTACTCATCTCGTCCCATATTGCCAAAATTATCCTGCTTCTGTTGTATAAAAGTGAATATAAATATATCATTTATATCTCAGAGTTTTGATGTATTATTCTTGAAAATTTTCAAATGGCAGTAGCAGAGACAAAGGGCGAGGTAATAGCCGCGAAAGACAAAAGAATCAACAGAACAGAGAGAACGATAATTATAACGTTAGTCAAAAGAATAATAACAATAACAACAACAGTAACAGACGATACGATCACAGAAGGCGTAGTATAATTCAGCGAAGCCGAGAATCGAGTAAGGACCGAAATTATGGCACCAGTTACAGAAGTTTTGATGATCTTCACAGACGCAGGTATTTACTTTTTTAAAAGATTATTATGAATTAGTGCAATTTTTAATGTTATCTTAGAGTATTTTTCAATTTTTACACAACATCTATAATATACATCCATTAAATAAATAATTAAATAAATAAATAAATATATAATATAATTTATTCATTATATATAATATAATTTGCATAATAATATATAAATATATAATAATCTCTAAATTATGTAACGAATATATTTTATTTTAGAACTGATAGATACTTGGACGAAGATTGGAGAACAGGCAGGAAGATATCGACTTGCGAATCTGATGATGGCAGACAAACTCCTAAAGTTTCTTCTCATACCACTTCTCTTCCGAGTGTGAATTCCAACTCGGCACATCATTCACCTCCAACAGGATACAGTAATGCTCAGCCAGGAGTTTTGATCTTGCCTAACGATGCTAATCAGTCGTCTCCCAATCAGACGGCCGCAGCTTCTCAACAAGGAACTGGACAACAACAGCAGCAACAACAAAGAACTCTGTTTGATCCAAATAACCCACATAAACCTATTGTTATCACTTCACCTGGAAGTAGAGCTGTACAAAGGTAAAATTGATTTTCCTCCACGTTTGCCTTGTAATCCATTAGCTGTAGGAATTATTTAATGGTAATTTATTTTCTGTTTAAGGGACAGTGACATGCAAATCTCGAGTGTTCCAGTATTCCAGTCTAACGTAGGTGTCACACCGTCACATTATTCTTTTCAAAGTACCCAATTGGACGGTATGCCATCACCATACATGAATGATCAAATTGGAAATATGAGACCTTCGTGGTACGATCCATTTTCAGCCAGGTACATAAATTATTAATATGATATATATATATATATATATATGTATGTATGTATGTGTATATATATTCTTTATATTAACATGTTAACATTTTTGTCTGTTAGTTTTCATTCAGCAAAAAATCACTGCCTTCTTCTGGATATAGAACGTGCCGATCTGGAACTACAATGGATAATAAGTTCCGGTGGTTTTATGTCGCGTTTGGACAGAGTTTCGTACATACGACACTTCTTGCAACAGAGCTTGAAGATTTTGCTTGAGACAGATATCAAATTCTGTCAGGCAGAAAACGTTGAGCAACATTTTTGGAAAATATTATTTTATAATCTGATCGAGATGCTACGAAAAGCGATGCCCAAAGAGAACTCAGAAGGACGGGAACGTTACAAGCAGATAATGTTAAATATCATTGATGAGGGTACGACTTATTTGGAAAGTTTATTGACTACTCTTGAAACTACATATGAATTTAAGTTGGACACGTTTCTCGCGTCATCGAGTCTACCCAAGGGTCTCGGACTCTTAGGACTGGCCTTAGTCAGTGCCCAAAAGATATTTCTATTCTTGGGTGACTTAGCGAGATACAAAGAACAAGCAAATGAAACAACTAATTATGGAAAATCTAGACAGTAAGTATTTATAATGATCTTATATAATTATAATAGCTCAAAATATTTTTAAATCTAAATGAAAAATTTTTTTCTGTTTAGGTGGTATTAAAAGCTCAGCAAATCAATCCTAAAAATGGCAGACCTTACAATCAGCTTGCTTTATTGGCACATTATGCAGTACGTATTAATATTTATTATCATAAACATAATTCAATGTACTATATTTTTAATGTACAATAATTTTTAATGTATATTTTTAATGTTTTTAATGTATATTTTTTAATGTATATTTTTGCGTTATCACGTTTTTCAGAGACGGAAATTGGATGCTGTGTATTACTACATGCGATCTCTTATGGCGTCCAATCCTTTCCATTCTGCCAGGGAGAGTCTAATAGCCCTCTTTGATGAAAATAGAAAAAAGTAAGAAAATTTATGAAAAGTATCGTTAAAACGTTTGTATTTATACTACGTTAATATTTTGATTTTCTTTTGCCGCCAGTATCTACATTATGTAAGTAAATTTTGATACACTTCGTGTGAACTTTAGATATTCTTTTGTCATATATTTATTATTGGTCAAGGCTTTATTATTTTTTTGTTTTTTTACTGCTAGTTGTTTTTAGATTTTCTATTTTGTGTGCTTTGGAGCCTTGATATTTTAATTCACCTGCACTTAAAAATTTCACATTACATTAATTCTTTTGTTTCTTGGCAAATGTGGCGAATTTAATGCCTTTCCACAACTATTATTAAAATTAATTAAGATAATATTCATGCAAATTATCTGCCATTATAGCTAAATACATATTTACATATTTAGCTATTTTTTACATACTGTAGTAATCGTTCACGCGAATGTTAGTTTTAATAAAAAGTTTAGAACACTATACAGAAAAAACATACAAAACAGTAACAGAAAAAAGAACAGGTACTATTCGTATTTTTAAACGAACTCATACAAGGACACTATATCTGCTAACGATATGCCTGAAGCATTTTTGTAACTGCTTGTTTGTAAGATACGTTCTTAAGTTTCCGGAAATGCTTTGCGCTGTAAATCCAGATTAGACTTTTCTTTGCAACAACTCTGCACATTTCGTTAGCATGCACTTCTCATAGATGCGGGAACTTGTACAAATGAGGAGTACAAATACTGTTCAATTGATGCTGTTTGTATGACTAGCTATCTATACAAAGGGAATCCCGCTACCCTATCTTCCTATTTTAATGATAATATTTTTCAATATGTCAAAAATTGTAATAGAGTAATTGGAGAAAATCGTCAATTCTTGTAATTCCTTAATTTATTACTACATCAAATATTTCGAAATAATTAGAAACAAATTAAAATTGTCAAATTATTTATGGGAAATGTGGTAATATGGTCGCGGGATACTTTAATAGCATTAGCAGTGCTCGTATATCTTACACTTGTATATATTTAATAGAGACATGCATATATACAACGGCAAATGTATAATATTTGTAAAGCCCAATTATCTATGCATTATATCTGTTAAATTATTATGCGAGATCAAGGTATTCTCTTAGTGAATGAAATATTCTTAGTACGAGTCTATTGAACGTAAACGGAAGGAAGAAAGGGAATCGAAGGAGCGGGCGAGGTGAAAGAAAAGGAAGGTGCAAAACATTATCGGTGGTGGACTGAGGAGAGAGACGTGGATTCATCCGGGTGACGGTAGACGAGTGCGACGTACAACCAGCGCGGCCACTGCCAACGAGACAAGGTTGTCCCACACAAGCGACTTGGAGGAGTTATCGCAATTAACAAGTGTTGAGGTTTGTACTGTCAATTTCTTGTCTAACAGTCTTCAAAACTAGCTACATTTTGTATAAAGTATATCTTTCAGTTAACTAATAAATGCGTACATTCTATCACCTCTATCTACATAATAAAATTTTTATAAAACTCTTGTACGCGCCTTTTATACGAATTTTATATTTTCTTATAATTGATGTAATCTAACAATATATATATATATATATATATACAATATGGAATACACATATTATTATGTGTACATATGTTTGATAAAATTATTATTTTGATATACTGTTAACGTTAACACATTAAAATTATCATTAAAATATAATGTATTTGTGAAAATATTTTATTTTATTCTTTATTATATTTTATTATTTTTATATTTTGATATTTATATGATTTAAATCTTCTTTTTTTTGTAGGTAATAAACGATTCGTCACTTCATATCTACACGTTCACGGGAAGCTCATCACCAAGATAGGGTGAGTGTTTACTATCATTGATTCTCTTTATATTATATTTCTTCCTGTAAAATGAGGAGAAAAAGCGTAAATTGTGATGATTAACAATTTTATAACTCCTTAATTATTTAAAACTTGTTAATACATAATGAAGGAGTTTGATAATTAATTGTCTGACATTTGCATTTCGTAAATGTTGTTTATTCTGCATCTTAGACAAATAAAGATGAAAATTATAAGAAGAATCGCTTTTCGCGATTATATGATAGAGTAGAAAAATCACCATTTTGTATTTCACTCGCATTTGTTAAACGTGGATAAATCATGCGAAGTTTTCTCGATTGCATAATTTTACGTTTTGTTGAAATATATTTTTATTTCTTTCTTTTCTCTCTTAATTAATTTCTATATTCTCTAAAGCTCATTAATGTATTATAATGTTCTATTATGCTATGAATATATATATATTTTTTTTTGTAAAAGTTACATAAACAGCTGTAGCACTTTTATTCAATGTAAAAAAAGGTGTTATTAAATTAAATTGACTTATTATATGTAAAAAGACGAATGTCTTTAATGTACAACATGGTGATTTGGTAAGGAATACACACTGTAGTGTGTGTATAGATATTTACTTTCCTCATCTTGGTTTTGCTTATAGCTTCAGGAAATTGTAAAGATCATTTTCAATATCTTAATGAAATTCCAGAAGCAATTACATTTAATAAGCGAAATTAAATATATGCACATAGTGTCTAATGTAGCAAATTGCAAGCTGCTTTTATGGAAAGTTAAAAATTTGTCATTAGTATTCTGTTATTAACAGAATATATTTTTATTGCGCGCGCACACACACACAATGATGCATAAATAAATAAAAAAGAAATAGTCCACAACTGATATCGCGATTGAGTAAAAATGATCCTTTCTTTAAAAAATGGCATGTTGACTGAGTGAATTTAATTTTAATCAAAGTATTGAGACCTTTTTTTCCGCGATGCTGGTTGCCTCGAAATTTGCTTCACGGCTTGAATCACAACCAAGTCGTTTGACAGTTTTACAGTTTGCGATTAAACTTATTATTTTAATTTGTCGAGTTCCTATTATACACATAATTTTGTTTATGTCATCGAATTTTTATTATGTATATAATTTTAATTCACTGAATTACTATTAATTATTACTATTAATTTTAATTTGCTGAATTTCTATTATGCACATAATTTTAATTTGCCGTATTTCTTTTACATAAATAATTTTAATGCACTGAATTTCTATTATGTGCATAATTTTATCATATACATAATTTATTCTTGAATTTTTATTGTGTACATAATTTTAATTCTTGACTTTTTATTATTTTTAAAAATTTTTATTTGCCAAATTTCTATTATACGTAATTTATATTCTTGAATTTCTATTACATATTTATAATTTTAATTAATCAAATTTCTATTATGTACAATTTCAATTGTTTACATAATAGAAATACGGCGAATTAAAATCATGTGCATAATAGAAATTCAAGAATTAAAATTATGTATGTAATAAAAAAAAAGAATTAAAATTATGTACATACTAGAAGTCGGCAAATTAAAATTATATTCATAATAAAAATTCGGCGAATTAAAATTATGTACATAATTGAAATTTGGCGAATTAAAATTATGTACACCTGCTGATTATATTATTTACTATTTCGAAAACTCCCGCGCGTATTACTACATAAAATCGGCCGATTTTGACGTGACGTCACGACTGCGTTAGCGTCGCCACCAGTCAGTGCGAGTCAGTCCAGCGGCGGAGGAGCAGAGTGCGCGTTGCGGTGCTCCGTGTTTTTGTCTGGATTTCGTGCGCGAGTAAACGGGAGTGCAAGTCCGGGAGTGTCGTGTTTCGATGCGATGGACCTAATCTTCTCGTCGAGCATCCGGGCGTTGACGGAGTCTCGGACCATCGCGACTTCGCGAAATTAGCGAACTGGGCGAGGGGAGATAGGAGGGAAGGGACTATGCTAATCGAGATATTATTCTCGATTATATTTTGAGTACATTTCGACATATATAACGGCTCTCGTGCGATATTTCGGAATTATCCGCTCGACGAGGAGTTCCGCGAGTATTCCAGCATCTCCAGGAGTGCCCGAGAAGTGTATCGGAGAAGGTGTCTGAAAGGCGCGAATTCATTGAAATCGACAAAATTCAAATTGTGGAGGAATGGCGCCCGTTGCTTGAGATACTGTGGTACCGAGACTATCCGCGTAGTGGCGCGCAAGAGTGTCGCTCCGCCGTGACACTTCCCGCTCACTTCGCGATGCCATGAAGTGACGCGGCGCGCCGGGAGATGTCGCGAATAGTCTAATGATGCGTTTAATGTAATTAATATTCTGGTCGCGATAATATCATTGTTATGAACGTAAATTTGGGATCCTCGGACGCTCGCTTTCTCGGAATCGGAAAATATATTTTTAAACAGATTTTATTCGCGAATGTGACCGAACGTGATCGAGCGGGATCAAAAGTGCCGAATGCATTCGCGAGTAATTTTTTTTTTTTTTTTTTTTGTATCATCCGTTCATTTTGAAGTGCATTGCACTCTGTGTAGTGAAGTGATAAATAATGCAAATATAAAATAGAAAAAGCAATGCAGTGATTAGTGTGTGTGCCAAACCATATGGGATTATAGCAGAGCAGCAGTGAAAACATTAAAGAGGATATACTAAAGCAGAGAGGTTAGATAATCGAATCAACGCAATGTGAGTTTATTTTTTTGTGTTTATGTTACATTGTTTGGAAAATGATTGATTGTTATTTTTAGGAAATAATAAAAATTTTATTGAGTTTATATATTTGTTATTTTGAAAGATTAAACAATTTTTTAACATTAAAAATAAAATTTATATATTATAATATTAATGCTAGAATTGAAATTATTTTATTAATAATGAATTTAAGAAAATAGATTAATTTTAGCAACTGACAATAAATTAATTTTGTTTATTATTTTCTGAATAATCAAGTTCACGTATCACTTTTAATTAAGTTTTGCCTATGTTTACAATTTGATTAATTTGTCTTTTTTCACATCTCTGTCGAATTTATTCAATATGTAGTTATTTATTTAAAGGGCGAATGGAAATAAGTGTTTTAAATTTGACTCATGTACTTAACAATATTTATGCAACCGGTACACTTGATGTGGCTATTAAAATGTTCTGTCTCTCTCTATAATTTTATATCATACCTCTTAGTGAGCTTCCTAAAATAATTTATTGATGCAGATTATACGTAATCAAAATAATATTTGAAATATAAGATGTACAGTATTATTGCTATAAGAATATTTAAATTAGAAAATACTATTCGATATTTTATAATCCGAATTAAATTTTCAAAATTATTTACACATTATAAAATAGAAAAATTATTTATTTTATCTATTTAAAAAATATGAAATAAAAAAAATAAAAATTTTTAGAGAGAATATTATATTTCAAATATATTGTTGTAATACTGTGAAAAAATAGAAGAGAGAGAGGTATCAAACCGTTTTCTTGGACTAATTATATCTACATAATGTACATTTCTATCATTCTTATTCGCAACATTTCATTTTTACTTGTTCGAGACACCGTGTAGGTGTCGAGAAAGAAAATGTTCGTTCTTTGAATAGCAGATAAAGAGAATTGACGTCGTTTGAATTTTTCAACACTCGTTAGAGTTATTGCTACGTTATTAAACATTAAAATTTAATCTGTATTTACAGAATAAATTATATATTACAAATTCGAAAGAAATTGAAAAAAGGCAAATTAAAGAAGTTTTGAATTTGATCCTATTTCAATTTTCTGCAATTGCGATTGTCTTGCAATCGCAAACTAAATCTTCATTGTAATATTTTATCTAATTTTAATACAATATTGTATAACACTTTTGAATAAATATAATTAAGCTGAATATATATATATATATATATATATATTATGTGAAAAAATCTTTATAATTATTTAAATGCTTAAATGCAGAGTACTAAATTTTTTTTTATTTTCTGGGAGGGAATTACTGCAGTGACTTTTTTTTCAATTAACTAATATTAAAAACTAATATTAGGAAAAATAAAACTAACCTGAGGAAAAATAAAACACCCTAAGGAAAAATAATATTAGGAAAAATGTATTTTTGGCAAGTTGTCTAAAAATTCGACGTTACATTCCGATAAATTCATAAAACTCAAATATTGCAAAGTTAAAATATAAATTGACATTTAATCTAAACTGATTAATCCAGAAACAATACGTCAGAGATTCTCTCGACTGTCCTTGGTCGACTAATGTAGTTTGATTGCAATATGAAAGAGAAAAATTAATAGAGATGAGATGTATATGTTACATAACAAAGGCAAAGCATATTGATTTTCACGGTCAAAAATATTACATATATTTCTATCTGAGAAAGGTGCAATTATTTGCAAATGTCGATGTATATATATATTTTTTTTCTTTTTTTATAACATTTTTGGCAGTATTTCATTCATCAGTACATATTTGAAAGTATAAATTTTTATATTAAATATTATACACACATATATGTATACATAGGATGAAAGTACGCTTTTAATGTGTCTAATTTCATCCCTGACGCCGAGCAGACGCGGGTTCGTGGTATGTTGCTTCGTGTTTTCTTACGCGCGACGGTAAAAATGTTAATTGACAATTGCATGGCGCCACCCGACTACCACCGTCTCGACCGCAGTTCGACGACGATAGAAGCGGCGACGGCGGGGATGTCCTGTGCGTGTTGTGACCTTGCGAGACACTTTGCGACTGTACCTACGCGAAGTACCCTCGGCATCCCCTCGGCGATAATTCGAAAGAAGGGTTTCTTTCTATCCTATCTCGGCTTTTTATTTAATACAAAATTAGTCGAATAAATTGTTTTTCGCGATTTTTGTCATACGACGCCTAAAAAAAAAACGCAGGGATGATGAGACACTTGAACGAGAGGAAGAACAAGAAGAGGTACAGG